GAATATTCTTCCAGGCTGTATCAAGTCTGGCAGTGATGATTTCTAGAAAATCCTCCATTGTGAAAAACACACAATCTGAGTAGATTTCATTTTGAATTTTTCGAATTGACTCCCAGTTATAGTGTGTTTGTAGTTTGGCATCATTGTATTCACACTTCCAAATATGAATAAGAATTTTGTAGGATTTTCGCAAGGAGGATAGTTGATTCAGCTCAGGTTTGATCGCAGGTTCTTTTATAGGTGATGTACGTTGAACTGGTGTACCAGCATTGGGGGTCATTTGTTGAACTTTTTGTGTTTTTTGAATGGCCAGTTGACGTGCTCGTTGAGGAGGTCCAGGATCAAGAATTGTGGCAGAGAGTGACGGTGTCAGAGCTGGAGGACTGGGACTATCTTCAATGACAATGATTTCATCATTTATTGAAGAGATGATGGAGGATTTTGGTGTGGATGGATTGGCTTTGCCACAATAAGGACAGGCAGCTTCACTATTACAGTGTGCTTCATGAGAAAATCCAGGACGATTGGGGCAGAATGGTGTCCACATAGTGAAGTAAATCAAGATGATAATAAACAACAAAGAGAAGAACAGGAAAATTTGAGTGTGTGTATATATATATCTGTTTTTGAGGGTAAGAGAGTGAGAGATTGTGTGTGTGTGTGTGTGTGGATTTCGGTAACCTGATTAGTATAATGATTAGTATAATAGCTAACTGCTTTGGGAGTGTTAGACATGATGAGTAATATTATAAAATATCTTCAAAGAGTTAGTTACAGTGTACACACTACAGAATATTTCTGTATCAATTAAGAAAATTGTTTATTGATATATATTTTAATACTGTCAATAACTTTAGATTGGAATATATAACTATATATGATTATAATTTTCAAGTTATAGAGTGTTTGAGTATATGAATACATATATTCTGTGTGTCCGGTGTACATACATTGTATATATATATATATATATATATCTAGTTCAAAATTCATGTAGCACTACAATATAAAATTTATAGAATAATTGTTATAGTAACAAACTTAAAAAGTATATTCTTGAGAATATTAGTAGAATACTTAGTAGAATACTTAGTAGAATACTTATTCATATTCAATCTAATTACATCTGTGATACATCTGGCTTAACATCCTCACTGTTCTCATCAGAGATATCAGGCTTGATATCTTCACTATTCTCACTATTCTCATCATAGATTTTCATTTCCATCACATTATCAAAATTCATCTCATGCTCCTGCAATCGCTCTGTCAGCCAGTCCCAAGCACCAGTTGGCTTTTCAGATTCCTGTAGAATAGGAACTTGTTGAGATCTTATATGATCATGTACAAGTTTTCGCAGCTGAAGATATATTATCTTATGTATACGTTCACCCTGTTCATTGACAGCTGCAGCAGTGACTCTTCCAGAAGAAAATCCCAATTTTGAAATCTGATTCTGACACCAATTCTTTGTCTCCAGTGGTAGATACTCATTAATATCTGTCAAGTATTAGTATCTCTATAATATTAGATCAACAGAGATATTAGTAATGAAGATATTACATACCCCAGTTTTCAAAGTGCATGTGAAGTTCTGAAAGCACTTGTGAATCTGGTTTTAAGCCATGCTGTAATGCATTATCAGGATGATAATAGAGCTTCCAGGGCTGTCCATATACCCCATCAGGTCGTTTACGTTGAGCTCGAATTCGATGATTATTCCAGACTCTCACATAGTTTGTCATCTCTTGTCGAATAATTGGCATATATACAGCGAGAAAGGCAATACGATCAGATAATTTATTGGTGTGATATAGACCTGTATGACTGAGATTCAGAAAATAGCGTTGAGAGAAGATTAGCATAAAGATTAGTATAATAATTAGTAGAAAGAATATGGAATTTCATACTCTCCAGTAATTTGCCAACTGTTTTGCAAGTTGTCCCCACCAAGATTCAATTCGTTGATTTAGTGTACTTGTTCCAAATCGATAGCACTCATTCAAAGAAGTATTTGAATCAGTTGCTTGATGTAGTTTGAGTTGTGCAGCTGCAATCATTGAAGTTTCGGTTCCTCTATCTGAACGAATAACCTGAGGAAAAGTATCGGTTGCTTGTAGAACATCAAGAAATTGTCGAAGAACAGAAACAGCAGTACGGTTTGTGATTCCAATATATATCCACACTATATATCGAGAATATGCATCAATTGCTGCATAGATTTCGATTCCCCAATGTTGAAGCTTGCAATAACCATCAATAGACCAAAGATAATTTGGTCCGGGAACAATGTAGGATCCTCGGTGACGTTGGAGATCATTTAGCCGACGTGTAATTCCATCTGGATCGAGAAGCCGAACTGTTTTGAATAGACGATCTCTGATTTTATTAGTATTATACTAATCATTATATTAATCAAAACATACCGTGAAATGCTATGCCCCTGCTGCCTAAAATGGGTGTACAGATGTCCTCTTCCAAAACCCTGAATAAATCCACTGTCAAGCTCTTTCTGTACAGTAGATATAAGCTCTTTCTGCATCTCATCACTCTCATAGTCATCTCTTCGCTGATGAAGTTTCAATTGCTGCCGAATTTGACGAAGCTCACGTATAGAGAGTTGAGACTCAGGATGCTTTTGTTGAATAACTGATAGAATATCAGCATCCTGCAAGCCTCGTGAAAACAATTCTTGAATAAGATTGTGAATTGATTCATCAGCTTCCCATTTCTTGGTTTTTCTAACATTCCATTTTCGAAGACAACGAACAAGAGTTGATCGACTAACTTCAAGATTATGATCTCGTTTCAATTGAGAGATAATATCTTGTTGAGTTAGATTGTGTTGATGAAGATTAATAATAAGATCTTTGTGAGAAAGAAGATATGAATAACCAGATGGAGGCATTTTAAAAGAAAGTGAAAGAAAAAGTATTCATCATTCTAAAATAAAGAAATAAAGAAAGAAAGAAAGAATGAATGAATGAATGAAAAATTGATAATATTATAACATCATAAAAAAAGTAAATAAGAAAATCAAAACAAACAGATAATGTACTAAACTAACTAAGTTAGCTTGCTTTAATATAAAAAAAATTTTCAACAAAAAACAGATTAGTAGAATGATTGCTATAATCATAAAAACAAAAAAAAAAAAAATCAACTTTCAGACTTAAAAAGCATGCACTCATCCGGGCTCCATCTCATTTGCATAAATTCCTCTGGAGTCATTTCCTCTTTCAAGGCTCTATGAGCCTGTTTACGAGCATCAATATCCTTTTCTGAATCTTCAGTCTTTTGCTCACTCCACCATCTCTTTGCCAAATTTGAGTCAATTTGTTCTGCACAAAGCAGCATTTTCAAAACAGAAAGCTCCTGATTTGAAATTTTTTTTAAAAATCGATGATGACTGGCAGTATTGTTGAAAGAATGATGTCGGAATTTTTGAAAAAGAGAATTGCTGATATCTTTCCATGAGAGAATCCACTGCTTGTATAAAACAGCAGCAAGACTTCCTCCTTTTTTCATCAGTTTCACCCCTTCCTCATACGCAGCCCGGGAATCTTCCTCAGTTGGCATATTTTCTTTACCAAACCGTTTTTCATCTTCCAGCCGCCATTTCACTTCTTGCATGGTGTCCTCAGAATCTAACAAATGATTCCATGCGGCAAGCCTGTGATAAATCATTAGAATGATTAATATAATGATTAGTAGAATATAGAACTTACTTTTCACTTGGTTTTGAGATATCTTCCTGTCTCTGCTCCAGCATCGATGCTGTAATCCCGGTGCTAAGTCTATATTCTATTAATATTTATATTAACAAGATTTCAAGATTTGTTAACTACCTTTTATTCATGATCTCTGTTCTTTTATCCTCAATCATCTTCTTTTGATCCTCAGTATTTGCCTCTCTGAATGCATCGGTATTTTTCAGCTGTCGAATATGATAATTTACTGCTGCACGATCTGCATTCTTCGCCTGTTCAATAGTGGCCTCCTCCTCATTCATTTTTTCCCTTCGTTTCATTGCTCTTTTTGTGTGAGGGTTAATCGACATTTCTTCTTCAGCTTTTCGTTTCTGGCCAGCTGTGGCTCCAGGCTTTGGTCCGCGGCGTGTCATTTTGATAGGATGAGAAAAAAACTGATCTTGGAAGTGGGAAACAAAGAATCTGGCGCAGGAAATAGTTGATTGATACAATGATTGATAGAATAAAAAGGCAGGCAGGCAGCAGAGCAGAAGTAGTGAGACAGGAGAAAGAAGAATTGAAAGAATTGAAAATCAATGTTGATATTCTTTGTGATGTGTTGTGGTGTTCACTTGATGGCCTATTTGAGCGGGCTTGTGTTGTTGTTTTTTTCTTCAACGGCACATAACGGCACAAATACCGGCCCTCCCCCTTAAAAGTTCTTTTCTTTTTGCTCTTTTTTTTTCCCAATTTTTTAATCTTTTAATCCTTCCCTTTCAAAACGCCTCCCCCCCCCCCCCCCCCTGCAGAAATTTTTTAAATTATCTTCTTGTTTCAGCAATGTAAGTGAGCTACAGTTCATTTTTATACTAGTTATTATACTAATCAGTAAATAAGCAGCTAGAATCATCAAATCCACGCAAAAATGGCTCGTACCAAAATGACTGCAAGAAAATGTGTTCAACAGAGAGGGGCAAAAAAAAATATAGCCAGCAAGGCAAGAAAGGGGGGAAAGCATTCTCCGGGACAGCATGTGGCTCATGTGAAACCTCGACGTCGCTATCGTCGAAAAGCTGGCAGTAAGTAAAAGTATATTCATAGATTTTTTGAATTTGAATATCTAATTTA